CCCAGCTGGAGTTCGTCCAGATCCTGGTGATCGTGGTGGTGATGATGGTGATGGTGGTGGTCATCACCTGTCTGCTGAACCACTACCGCCTATCAGCTCGCTCGCTGCTCTCCAGACACGCCCCCGCCCGCAGGAGACACCTGCCACTGGCCAGCGTGAGTCATACACACCTGAATAAGAGGGGGAAGAAGTACTCAGATTTGATACTGAAGTGAAATAAGCAATACTATGTAATAATACTCATGAAATATAAGCATGCACAGTAGGGTGGTCCTTAGTGCCATGTACATTTTCAAATTCATTTATTTGAAGCTCCAACCACCGGAATTCGTTATGATAGTCAAGAAAACTCTCCTGGTGAATTTTATTCAAATTCTAACAACACTTACCCCTCCCACATCAACCTTGAAGTTTAGCCTCAGTAGGGTGGTCCTTAAAATTGAAAGTCGGAAAGTCTAAGCTCCAACCCCTATTCCATTAGTCAAGAAAACTCTCCTGGTGAATGTTTTCCTCAATCTGACAACATGTACCCCTCCCTCATCCACCTGGGCTGCCACACCAGCAGCACGGTGCTGCAACTGAGGCTAAACGTCCAGGTGGATGAGGGAGGGGTACATGTTGTCAGATTGAGGAAAACATTCACCAGGAGAGTTTTCTTGACTAATAGAATGCATTCTGAGGGTTGGAGTTTAGACTTTCCCACTTTCAATTGTAAGGACCACCCTAATGCACAGTCAGCAAAGATCCAGGTTTTTATTTTGTATTGATTATTCATCTTCAAGAGCAGTATACCTGGTCTCTTAACGTTCAGGGTTAAAGTATTTAACCTCTCCTTTGGTAATGTCATCTGTCAGATAAATGTAATGGAGTCAAAAGTGAAATATTGGATACCAAAATGTAGTGCAATAAAGGTATAGCATAAAATGAAAATCCTCAGACGAAAGTACGTCAAACTGGTACTTAAGTTCGATACTTGAGTTAATGCACCTTGTTACTTACATTATTATGAACATCATTGGATGATTTACTGGAGGGCTTGTTTCTTTATAAGCTCTCCTCCCTCTTTTTGTTTTCCTGTACCTTGACTGTATTGATGTTGAATGAGTTGAAACAAATCCACCACTTAATACTTAATGTAATTGATCAACATTCATCAACACATCTCTTTCATATCTGTTTAGAAATTGATTTCTAAAGTAGATTCAATTTCATATGCTTAATATCTGCAGTGTAGTTTATGCCAATACAAATCTTAAATTGTGTTGATAAAGCAACTTGCTGCGCTATTTGTGTTGGTATCAGATTAGGTTCATGTTTAAGTGTGACCAGATGGCTGCCTTTTTTTAATAGCTGCATAATGATGGAGTTACAATTCATTCCTGTACAAAAAGTGGGTCATTGGGTTAGCTTTCACAGCAGATAGGAATGAGTCATATACAACTAACGTTGGAGGTTTAAATATATGCATTACACAGAATTGCATATTAAGGCTGAACAAACATGGAAGCATGAAATGAAATCAACAATGAAAGTAACAGCCTGCATGTGTGTGTTGTATAAACGAAAAGCTCAAATATCACTATAGAAACATGTCAAATAACTTAACATGACTCAATGAAAACATAAAAGCAGTGCTCCACTGTGCAGAACGAGTACAAAAGGTGTGTGTTCAGGGTTTTAGTCACAGTTTCTACTGAGAGACAGAATCAGAAGAAAGCAGAGTGACAGCATGTGATCATAGTTATTAAACACCGCCGCAGGCTAACGCTAACACACTGACTCATTATTCATTAATGGCCACAGCGAGCTAGCAACGACTGTCAGGACAAACACACACACACACACACACACACACACACACACACACACAAACACACATGCTGACTTACACCTGAGGCTTCTCCAAACATATGACTGCTACTGAATCACTGAGTGTGTGTGTGTGGCTCCAGTCTCAAGTTAGATATGAGTGAAGGATGAAGCATAATCATGCACACCACGCACACACACACACACACACACACACACACACAGAGCTCCTGATAAGCTCAGGGGAGTCATTGTCCTAGTTCATTTGGATGATCAGACCTGACACACATGCAGGCAGACAGACAGGAAATGTGCCGCCTGAGAATAAAAAAAGTGACAAAAGTTGGAAAAGTTCCTTCCAGACATTGTTTATAGAAGTTAAAAGCTGCTTTTGTCTCCATTGTGCGAGGCATTGAGACAAAACTGACAGTTCCACTACAGTGTATTCATCCTGAAACTATTTAAATATACGCTGGGAAACTGGGTAATCAAAAAGGCCAATGTGGAGATCTTTACAAAGGTTGCGCAGAAATTCGGATGAGTACAAACATAATCTCTGTGATTCACTCAGACATAAAGGCATTACTTTACAAAATAAGAGAGTATTTTAAAAAGCCATAGAGTGCGCACAAATGGAGCCCCTAGTGGACAAACAGTGAACACATTCTTCATAAGAATAATACAGAATAAATACAACTTATAATAACCATGAAAGTGAACATACTTACCATTTGATTGAACATAATAATCATATAATTTAAAATATATGTATTGCTTTAAAAGCTATTGAAATAGCCTTATTGGCATTGGAATAATGACAAGAACAGATGTCACTGTGTGTGCTGTGTGCTCTGCATGTGGGACCATTACAGAGGGTCTCATCCCTCCCAATATATTCTATCTGTCTATCTATGCATCTACACACATTTGGAAAATATCATCAATGGTTATAATTATTGTAATCTGTGTTTTTTTATTTGAACAATCACTTAACGCTGTCATGTCATGTCATGCATAGGCAAATCGTTGATTATTGTGCAGGATATAACTGATCATATATAACATAAATAAATGATAATCTCTCTATCGTCCTCTCAGGAGGGGAGTCTGTGGTCTTCTGACGGCACGGGGACAAACAGTGGTCTAAATGAGGTGAGGCATCATTTCGACTATATCTTTATTAAACAAGGAGCATGTATACAAATACATTCATCACAAAAAGCAAAGAGATGATTTAAGCTGAATTTAGCTATAAGCTTTTCCATTAAATGAATAACAGAAATAAGCCAAATGAAACCGTTGATAATGTAGCAGTAACATGACATCCTTCCTCTTCACAGCACCAGGTGTACAACCCCCGGCCCCCAGACAGAGGGGCCTCGTCCTACCTGCAGCGGGACCCCCAGCCTCAGCCCCCGCCCCAGCGCTTCCAGCACTCCTTCGCCCCGACGCGCTTCCAGCCGACGTACCCCTACCTGCCGCAGAGCCTCATCGACCTCCCCCCCACCATCTGCCTGTCGGACGGGGAGGAGCCCCCCCCGTACCAGGGGCCCTGCACGCTGCAGCTCCGAGACCCCGAGCAGCAGATGGAGCTGAACCGAGAGTCGGTGAGGGCCCCGCCCAACAGAACCGTGTTCGACTCCCACCCTCTGCACCCGTCACGCTCCTGTCTGCAGGCCAGGTGACTACAAACATTGATCATGTGTTGACCATACAGCAGTGCAGGGACGCTGCATTTTTGGTTGTTGGTTGCCGAGTTAGCATAAAAAGGGCTGATTCCAAAGAGACGAATGGGATCTTTCCTTTGGATTTTGGAAAATTGCAGAAAATGATCTATATGGCAAACGTATGATTATGATACTTAAACGATGGGTTCAGCAGGATAATCTCCACATATTAACACCGCTTTAATAATAGTTGAAGCATAAATGCAATCTCGCCCTTGTAAAAAGCTAAATAAGGCAAAAAACGATCACATGACTTCACATTACCGTAGCTAAGCTAAAGGTGGCTAAGGTTCGGCGAGATTACGCTTACTTGTCACATTTAGACTGTTAGCAACCATAACTTTTAAGACATGTAAAAGCTTTACACATTCACCAGTCCGGTATTAACTGTAGGGCTGTACCCGAATATTTCAATATTCCTTCGTTCGAGTACTATTCGGGTTTCAATTTCGTTATTCAGATATTCGTTGTTTTTGTTCTTTTTGGTAGCCGCGATGCACTGCGGCTGCCAAATAGAATTTATTGAAATCTCCAATATCAACGTAAGAGCTTGTGCCTCTTCGGGGGGTGCTAACACTTAACCATAAACTTTATCGTTTACTTTCTCCGTCTTTATATGTAGATATTACTTTTCTCCGTTAATCTCTGTCACGTTGTTTCCATAGCAACAACAACTTCCTGTCAACAGCGCTAACTCTCCTTCAAAATAAAAGCATGTCCATACAAAATAGGAAGCCAAGTCCAAATTACACTTAAGACGTATACAACTGCAACGAAAGTAACAAACACAATGCAATGTCCTTTTCAATTCCAAAGAACACAAATTGGGTTATTTACATTAACAAAGAACTATAAAACAACAATACTGTAGAATAACAAAATGAATGCCGTGAATAAACTGAAATACACGCGTTGAAGCGGTTCGCTGCTGATTACTCACCTTCAAACACATAAACACTCAAGTAAATTGTACTTGAGTAAATATACTGTAAATGATATTTAAGCTCTACATTTCTTCGACATTTTTACACTCGGTTTTGTATTTTTCTGCTCCTACATTTGGTTTTATCTTCTTTGTTCTTCCCCCATCAGACTTATTCCTGACCCTTGTTGTTTCCCCCCCAGTCTGCAGGCCCCTCCTCCCAGCATGCACTCTGGCATCAGTGTGTTGGAAGCCCAGGAGTCCCGGCATCAGAAGCAGGCCACTCGAGTGGAAGGAGCCCCCCCGACCTACAGCGAGGTGATCGGGCACTACTACCACCCGACGTCCCTGCCCCCCAGCCACAGCCATCGGACTGTTTCCTCCTCACAAGCCCCGCCCCCCACGTTCATACACGGCCTGCTGCGACCTCCACACCCGCAGCAAGGGAGCGTGGACAACAGGAACGCCAGGAATACCAAGGAGAAATCCCAGAAGCCCCAGCAGGTGTGACAGTACCGCTTCCTTAAAAAATGAAAGAATTGATTTTGTCTGCTTGGAAGTGGTCAGTAGCCAATGAGGAACAACGTGGTAAAAATCCACTCTGATGGTAATTTGTAGTGAGGTCAGTTTCCCCACTTCATGGATCTCCTTTAGGTAAGAACACATGGAAACCACATCACTCCTGCAGAGCACAGTGGCAGGAGAACATCTGGCTCTTCCTGTTCCACACTTCCTATTTCCTGTCTGAGGAGCACTTCAGATGATGATGTCAGAGAAGAAGGGCAGAGGGTGCAAAGGGAAGCCTCCTTCTTCCCTTGACGCCTCCCTCCTCCATTAGACTGATCGTACTAGTCTCCATTCATTATAAATATTTTCTTGTTTTGTTTGTTCCTATAGAACCTTTTGTTTGTTTGTCTTTTTCGCGCTTACAAAAAATCTTTCTATCCAGGCAAATGGCGAAATGTTGCAATCTTCTTGGTTCTTCCAGGTTTTTGTTTTGATTTCCTAGTGATAATCCCCCCCTCGCTGCTTTGACTCCATTATGTTCTTTGTCAAATGTTAGCAGCAACTCCTGCATCTGGCTTTAGCTGTATCACTGGGACACGTTAGCACGTTAGCATATTTCCAAGAGTTTAGATTTAGTTAGCGTTATCTGAACCTAGCTTAGCCGTCATAGCACATCGCTCAAAGTCCCCGAGCTAAACGTTTCTGCCTTATATCGACCGATGCAGGAGTTGTTATGTTTTCTAAAGAAGGTTTGCACAAAGTTCACGACTGTTCAACACAGAAAAAAGGAATCCGCAATATGATTGATAAAGGAGAAAACGGAGAAAAGTAGGGGTATTTTTCTAAACTTTATAGATTCTTATCGTTAAGATATTTATTTTCTGTTTTACATGTTGTCTAGTTTTAGAAAAAGGAAACATCATGAATCTGTTGGGGTGCCAACTTTCACATTTTGCTACATACATGTATTACATTTTGAGTTTATATACGAACACACGTATGCAAACGGAGAGCGAAGTTAAAAGCACGAATTGAGAGTTATTTATATAAATGCTGAAAAGAATTGCACTATTTTTTAGTATGAGCAGATGGAACGTGTGAGAGAGACTTTTACTTTGAAGGAGCTCTGTCAAGTGAGGCGTAATATAAAAAGAGAAAAGGTGGATTTACCAGAGGGGCGGTGCACAGCAGCATGTATCACGGAAACATATCAGATTCTGACTTTGGATCAACCGACTCGGATACATTACCGTACCATTGATATCAAAACAAATAAATCCCTCATTTATGCAAATATCCGAGTCCTGCGAGCCAACCACGAGTCAGCCTTCAACCTGTTGGGCCCAATCAGAAACTCTGCTTGTAGCTCTCTCTCTTCCTATTGGCCGAATCGTTAGCCAATCCCAAAGCTGGCTTGTCGCTATCTCGACCAAAACGAGCCACCAGTTTTCTCACGTTAATCAGACTTTTTCACAAACAAACGTCTGACCTAATCACGACGCTGTGTTATGTAACAGGAGAGTAGTTTCATCCTGCTGTGTTCTCTTATTTTATTTTAGGATTATTGAGTGAGAAGAGAGAGATAATGCAGATCAAAGTGACACCTAACGTCCTCTTCGTGTTGCGTTACTTAAGGAAGGAAGCCATGTCGCCCTAGACAAATGATACGCTGACTGTGCACTGCTGTGGCCGCACACACACCAACGTTTTCTTTTGAAATCTGTCTTTTGAACGCACACACACACTCCCCTTCTGGTAAGGTTTTCTCTGTTGCAGGCATCGCTGAGCACTTTACTGCACCAGGAAAGAGTCAACAATCTTCTGTCAGCCAGCAGCAGCCGATCAAAGCTACAGTAGAAACCTTTCATATCGTAGGATAGACTTTAGACCCACACTTGAAAAGATGCAAAGAGTTGTGCTCCAAGACTTGAAATCCCTTACAACAAATGATAACCCCACTACCTGGACCCAGTGACTTATTATCAATAAAGCCAGACCTGGGTATCAAAGAGTTTTCATTCCCATACAATGAAGAGTTTCAGTACCATGACAAACATAAAAAGAAATACGTTTGTGTTTTTATACAAAACTCTTATTCAAAAATCTAATTAGTAAATTGATTTGCACCATAAAAATATCAAAGTTTGATACTCAGTCTGGCTTTTCAAAGTTATTTGATGTATTCTTTTATTTGACTCCCTTCCTTCCTTGGTGGATATTTCCCTCTTGTAGCATAACTCTTAGTGTGTAACGCAGCAGAAGATGAGTTGTCTCATATTAAACACACTGAAGTGTTGAAAAGTGACACGAGTGTTTACAGCGGCTCTTCTTCTGTCATCTCTTTAGGAGCGCGGGGCTAAAGGTCAAACTAACGTAGAAGATTAGGACGTGAAGACATTTGTAGTTTTTGAGTGTTGAATTGAGTTTATTTGAATTTGTGTTGATGTGAGGCTTTAGTGTCCAGTCTTTATGCAACAGCGCCCTCCGCAGGGACCCAACCAAAGCACAGCCAAAACTCCCGAAGCTGACTCAGCGTAATTTAGTGGAAGAAGAGAGAGTCAGAAGGCCAACAAAGACATTTTATAATCTGAAGCGGTGAATCTTTTAACACTTATGACTATTGTCATAAGGTCTATCTGAAGGATACACTTGTGGGACTCTAATAACTCTTTCTTAACAACAATGAACCCTCATCAAATTTGAAAATGTTTTGTCCCTGTTTAAAAAGACATGGAAGTACATTTACAAAAATCCTGAATTGAACGGTGGAAGTTAACATTCCTGTTGTTGAACTCAAACTGCTGCAATACAGAAAAAAGACAGATAATCAGAAGTCCTTTCTTCGACTCTCTTCCTCCTTTTGTTCCAGTGTGATGCACAGTATATATCACAATGTAAAGAAATCAATGTCTTGACCCAAAGCAGCTAAAGGAGTGACGAGTGGATCAATCAGAATATAAATCACCTCGTAATGAGAGTATAAGCCCCCAAACACAAGTTTAGATAATTTATTAACCCTCCTTCCCTTTCCTTTTATTTCCTTTCCCTCCATCAGTATTATACTTGTGTTTGGACCAGGTGTTTCCTCTGAAAGGCTTTGGGTCCCTGCAGGGCTGCACCGGGTATCAAAAGGCTGGACAGGCTCTGAATAGGGCGTCACAGTAGAAATAAATAATAGAAATAGTGATCGTTATTTAAAATAATGTGCCTAAAGGGTGCATGAGAAGTGAAACCGTGTAGAATCAGTCTCTCGCTTCAGGGAAACCTGCGCTGGCTGACGATTCAAAACAAGACAGGAGGAGAGATGAGGGAAAACATAAGCCACGCTATAACTGACTCATCACGTGCTGCCTACACACACACACACACACACACACACACACACACACACACACACACTCACACTCACACTCACACACACACACACACACACACACACACACACACACACTCACACTCACGCTCACAAAGAGATGATAACTATTGATTTACTTCCAATGGGTGATTTATTCATATACACTGAAAACACTGAAACGTTGTCTTTTATTAAATGTAATGTGTCAACAGATTTCACATAAGTGTATTTCATTAAAGTCAACGGTTCAGTTTTTTCAGTGTAGAAATGATCATTTAGGGGGTTAAGTATTCCTTTAAGAGGAGTCGGTTGAGCTTAATCCACATTAAATGTTGTTCAAACACGAAACTAATCAGGTTTCTGTCTCCTAGAAATGTGTCAAATCCAGCAATAATCTGTGTGTGTTTAAACTGGGACACAACTCTTTGATTTAAGCCAGCGTGAAGGCTGAGTGTGTGTGTGTGTGTGTGTGTGTGTGTGTGTGTGTGTGTGTGTGTGTGGGTGTGGGTGTGGGTGTGTGTGTGCGTGGGTGTGGGTGTGTGTGTGTGTGTGCGTGTGCGTGTGCGTGTGTGCCCTGGGAAAGACCTCCAGCTGTCTAGACAAAAACTAAACAAACACACACAGGTGCACCATCACACACACATATCTTTGTTATTGTGGACCACACAAGAAAACAATGTATCCAACACACACACACACACACACACACACACACACACACACACACACACACACACACAGTCCCCCTCCTCCTCTCTGAACGAGCTCTTCCTGTTACCTAGCGATGCCTGCTATCCAATGACAGAGCTCCTCTCCCCCAGCCTTCGCTCCCATTGGCTGGTTGTTTTTTTGTTGTTTTTTGCTATGTCGTAAATGTGCCTGCCTGCGCTGAGACGGGCGAAACGTGAGTGGCTAGTTTGGGCTGTCAATCATCCCAGGCCACACCTCCTTACTGTCTCAGAGGATGCTGATTGGATGATGATGATGAGATTGAGGATGATGAAGATGTTTTTGATAGAGCGTTGCAATACACCTACTATTTGCCTTTTTGATAATATTAGTCATATTTTAACGTAGTGTTCTTAAATGTACGTTTTTTATTGTTGTTGTTGTTATTATTGTTGTTTATTCACTTGAGAACAAAACAATTTTTCTTCGATCCATTGTCACACCATTTTTTTCATTTTGTTTGCGGTGTTAAACTACCTACCACAGGAAAGCTGCAGAGGATTGAGAGGACGTGTAAATACAACACTTCTGTTTTCAAAGTGCCATTTGTAGTTTCAAGAGCAAACCATTCGTGCACTCATTTCATTCAGTCCTGAGGTCAAAATGCACTCATTGCATGTAAACAGGAAGTTCCTGTGCTCTACTTCCTGAATCATCAGCTCTCCTCCCCCGGCCAGCGTCTACATGTGTGCCTTCTGCTGGCCGGGGGGGCGGAGACTCCCCTCTGCAATGACCCCCTCAATACTCTGTAATAATACTGTTGCCTTTTGACACCGACAGCACCAACATATTCATCAAATACTTCAAAAAACACGGCCAGGAAGTATGGAAGTCTATTCGGGGCAGGAAAATATTAAAAAACTATACTTAGAAATGTAAACTCTATTGTTGATAACTTGGTAACTCTGTAAATGAACAATGCTAACAAACATCTGCTGAAGACGTTTTCTATAAAAGCTCACAAAGCAGCACATAGTTGATGGATTGTTTTAGATAAGAAATACTCAAAAAGAGGATTTACTAAGGGGGAATTGTGATTTTGTCAAAACTACTAGATTTGCAATCTTTTTTACTATGTCATAATATTGACAACAACAAAAGTTGCATCTTTGAATTAGTATCTGATACATTTAAGTATTTCATTTATTTTATTTATCTTGCATAAGATTAGCTTTTTTTCTCTTTTCTTGGCACAAATGGGCTTCCATAGCGATACAAGTTTCTTATGCTGCGTTCCAGAGAAAGTCGGACCCTTCAAACTGTTGTTATTTTCCACATTCTTTCATGTAAGGTTGAAGTAACTATGACCTACCAGTGCACATGTGTATTGTGTTTCCGACATGCAATGGAACGCAACATAAGAAACAACGTCACAAGTGAAATACACAGAAATAAGTCTCCGGCCTCAAACACATTAAAGACATTTCCAAAGAAGGAATCATCCTAAACCCGACTCTTGGACAAGAGTTACACCTGACTTGAACTTTCTTTCTTTTTTTTGGGTTAAACACTTTGCTTTACAATTTCCATTTTCTCCAGTTCCTGTAACTCTTCAAAAGTCTTTGAGTACACAATAACACACATACTTGTTTTAAAGAGGAGCGGTGCTGGAGAAAAGAAGGTGTGAAAGAAGCAGTTTTCCTCCTTTGTGTTCTTGCTCATTCTGCCTCTTTGAATCAGCGCTGCGCAGCGCCTTTCCTCTCACAATGTTGAAGAAAATATATGAAAAAACACTCTTTTTTTGTTGCAATATGTGTGCATATTTAAGCAAAACCTCAATATCTTACAGGCAGTGACTATGTAGAAGTCTTCCACCTGTTGTTCAGTTTGATCCTGCAAGCATCTTCAAAATGTAATGTGGGACATGTAGTTCATTCTGGTTTCAGTGTAGAAAAGGTTCATCCTTCCTTCCCCTGAAGTGGAAGGAAGGTGGAGTTGAAATCTGTTCACAGCATGGCTCACACTCTTATATACAGGCCTACTTATCCTCAATGGTAATAACTGCTTACTTGTGTATTAAAACCTGTTCTTTTATTTATATTGGGTGGTCTACGTGCTGCAAGGTTTGTTATGTTGTTGTTGTTGTTCTTCTGTTTGTTTCAAACTGAAGACAATGGTTTATCGTTGTTGTCACAGAACATGGTATGAATCGGACACATTTCAGTTAGCCTTCGATTTAATGAATAAAAAGTTTTATAAATATGTCCACGTCTCCTCTGGGTATTTATTTATTTTATTTTAAATATGAGTTACATTAACAAAACATTGTTTTCGTTATATAATACTTTTTTCATTTTAAATATATGTTTATGGGGTTAGTGTCTGTAATATTTGAGTCTATAGGGGTAATTTATTTAATTTTAAATATATACAAGTTACATTTAGTCGAGATATTTAAGTTTACTTAAAGTGGACCTATCATGCTATATTTGAATAATATATTGTAGGGCCATACCTATATAAAACATGTCTGTGAAGTTTTTTTTTCAATATACCAAACAGATCATGCATTTTAGCCATGTCTCATTTCGCTCTATTTTCTCTTTTCCAGCCCTGTTTTTGCAAGGGCTGATTCTGTGAGAAGTCTTCTTCGCTGCTTTTGTGGCAGACTACAGCGCCACTTACAGGCCTGGAATATGTACTACAGCGTCTCCAGCGCTTTCGAGCGGCAATGGCCGTGGCCCAACCCCCCATTCCCCTGATAGGTGGAGAGTTGCCCATATAGGCGGAGCTCCCCGTTTCTGACGTCAGAACAATTTCAAATCTGGATCAGTCTTTATCAGATCCGTTGCAGCCCCGTTTTTAGAGATTTGGGTATGGAGGAAAAGAGAGAGGGTTGTGTTTTCTGACACTTGGTGAGTTCCCTGGAACACCGGGGACACATATTCATGTATAAAAGACGTACAAAAGTGCATTTTGCATGATAGGTCCCCTTTAATATTAATTTATACTATTTAATATATATATATAAATAAAAAGGTAAAATTAACTGAACATATGAGTTATGTCAATATATGTATAAAGGTAACATTCACTGAAAATATTTGAGTGTACTTTATATTTATTTTAAATATTTTTATATATATTTAAAATGAAATATATATGGATTTTTGTATATAAAATATATATATATATATTTGATATATTTATACTCACTGGCCACTTTATTAGGTACACCTGTTCAACTGCTCATTAACGCAAATATCTGATCAGCCAATCACATCGCAGCAACTCAAAACATTTAGGCATAGACATGTTCAAGACGACCTGGTGAAGTTCAAACAGAGCATCAGAACGGGGAGGAACGGAGATTTAAGGGACTTTGAACGTGTCATGGTTGTTGGAGCCAGACGCGCTGGTCTGAGTATTTCACAAACTGCTGATCTACTGGGATTTACACCGACAACCATCTCTAGGGTGTACAGAGAATGGTACGAAAAAGGGGAAACATCCAGTAAGTGTCAGTTCTCTGGGAGAAAAGGCCTTGTTGATACCAGAGGTCAGAGGAGAAAGGCCAGACTGGTTCAAGATGATAGAAAAGCAACAGTAACTCAAATAACCACTCGTTACAACCAAGGTATGCAGAAGACCCTCTCTGAACCACAACACGTGGACCCCTGAAGCAGATACAGCAGCAGAAGACCACACTGTGCCCCTCCTTCAGCTAGGAACAGGAAACTGAGGCTACGATTTGCACGGGCTCACCAAACTGGACAATAGAAGATTGGAAAAATGTTGCCTGGTCTGATGAGTCTTCATTTCTGCTGCGACATTCGGACGGTATAGGGTCAGAATTTGTCGTAAAAACATGAGAGCATGGATCCATCCAGCCTGTATCAACGGTTCAGACTGGTGGTGGGGGTATGATGGTGGGGGGATATTTTTTATTTGCATACTTTAGGCCCCTTTCCAGTATATATATACCGTGGCGTGTATATTAGTTACATCAGCTCAGTGGCGGCGCCAGGGTATGGCTGGGGTAGGCTACAGCCATACCAAGAAATGGCTTAGCCCCACCTTAGCCACACCATGAAAAGTGATGTTAAAGTAAGCATGTTGAGAACACGGATTGCGAAAATATACCGGTCGTGTCCACAACACACAAACTGATCTTGCTGTAACAAGTGCACGTTACTGATGCAATATCTTCTTCTTCTTCTCTCATTTTTTGGCGGATTGCAAACAACTTAAAAGGTGCATACCGCCACCTACTGTACATGAGTATGAATCATCATATCATTGCATCTCTTTAACCTATGATCTAATCAAAAAAAAAAAAAATAATAATAATAAATAAATCAACAAAAATAATAATCTATGATCTTTCCTGACCTAATGTTAAATTATGTTTCCTACCCCAGTTTCACTCAAGAATGTAAACAGTGCCTTTCTGGTAGCTCTTACTCCTTTTGTTCCCAAAACACCAACCACACTCCATTCCCTCTCTGCCTCTAAAACTTTAGCCTTTAGTTTTTCTCTTTCAGCTTTATAGATGTCACAATGTAACAAGATATGTTCTACATCTTCTTTTACTCCACAGTTCCCACACTTGTCACTTTTCCCCATGACATACAGCATACCATTCAAAGCCGTGTGATTTATTCTGAGTCTAGCGATCGTGATTTCCTCCCTTCTGTTTCTTTCTTTCTAAATATTAATTGTAACTGTCTTTTGTACTTTGTGATAGTCTTTGCCTTTCTGGTCTTTCTCCCACCTTTTCTGCCAGATCTCCATCCCTTTTTTCTTAATTACTGCTTTTCTTTCTCCTTCTCCAAGTTGAACTGGAAATGTTATTTCCTTTTGTCGTGCACTTTTTGCTAATCTATCAGCACACTCGTTCCCTTTCACCCCCTCATGTGCAGGCACCCAGCAGAACTGCAGATCTCTGTGAAGTCTTGACAGGCTATGATTCAGTTCTATGAGAATGTCTTCTCTGACAGTTGTTGTTGACTGTATGCTTTTTAATATGGAGAATGAATCTGTGCACATCACCACCCTATCTGGTCTGACCTCTTCAACCCACTGTAATCCTATTATTACTGCCAGCATTTCTGCTGTGTACACTGATAATTGATCAGACGCTCTTTTTGAAATAGATATTTTACCATATATACCAACTCCAACACACTCTTCCTTGTTCTTAGAACCATCTGTGTACATTTGTAGGTAATTGTAGTACTTTTCATTCAGATACATACTTGTTTTAATTCCCACTTCATTTATTTGCCACTCTTTTTTCCTTTCTACAATACTCATATCTATGTTAGCTTCTGGGAAAAGCCATGGGGGAACACTACTAAATGGGGTTGCTTTGGCAAACGTGATGGTCTCCACTCCATATGCCCTCGTTCTTTCCTTACTCGTCCAGCCAAACCCACGTCCCTGGAATTTTGCATATTCCCAGCAATCCTGTAATATTCTGTTTTAAATATGTTCTTCTCCACTTCCTTGTAGTCTGACCCAGTATGACAGAGCAAGTTTCTCTCTTCTGATCTCCAGAGGTGTCTCTCCTGCTTCTATCAGAACTGCATTGATAGGGGATGACTTTGTCGCTCCAATACACAACCGCAATGCTTTATATTGTATTCTATCAATTTTTAAAAGCAATGTTTTTGCTGCTGCTCCATACACTATACAACCATAGTCTATTGTGGACCTCATAATTGATCTGTAAATGTCTATTAATGCTTGTTTGTCTGCGCCCCAGTTGCATCCAGCTACAGCTCGCAATACATTTAATACTTTTTGGCATTTTGTTTCCACTTGTTTAATATGCATTTTCCATGTATATTTGCTATCAAACCACAGTCCTAGGTATTTGAACTCATTCACCTTTGTCATTGGACGATCATATAGTGTTAGCTGTTGGCCATCAATCTTGCGTTTGTTTGTGAATACCATGTAGCATGACTTGCTTTCTGACATTTTGAATCCCCAGTTATATGACCACCTCTCCACTTTTTTAATCGCTCTAGCTATATTCTCCATTAGGTATGGGGCATGTCTTCCCCTCATCCAAATAGCCCCATCATCTGCGTATAGAGCCGATTGGATGCATGTGTCTAAGCATGTAAATATATCATTAACCTGTTAAGCCCAGAGCCTGTTTTTCAGGTTTCAGGCTTGAAAATGACATGCCCAAAACAAATGACTACAACTTAACTTCTAAAACGGTTATATGAATAATTTATTTTATCAAAGCAAGTTACATCTGTGAGTTGGATGTAGAAGTGTCAGAATCAATATAGATTTTTCTCAGTCAGAGTAAATTCAGATGGAACACAGCAAAAAAAGGTAAATTCTTACCTCCGCCTAAAAAAAAAAAACATTACTTATAGTGAAAACCACCCTTGAATGATGGGATGGTAGACTAAAAGCTTTAGGAATCCAAAGTACAACATATAATAAGTACCCTGTATTAAGATTGAGGCAAAACAAGTGAAATTTGACCTTTTTAGAGAGGTTTAGAAAAATAAAGTCTAGGCAGAATAAGCTTTGGGCACATTTGGGTACATCTGGTTCCATCAGTGCCATTTGACCTTTTTCAGGTACCAGACTATAAAAATGATGTATTACATTGAATTATCACCATAGGTATTCATTCCATCCAAAGAAAAAAAAAAGATTAATTTACAAAAAAAAATTAAAATTAAAAGATTAAAGGTGGGGTAGGTAAGTTTGAGAAACCGGCTCGAGATACACTTTTTGTTATATTCCATGGAATGCTCTTAACATCCCGATAGCAATGAATATCTTAAGTGCTTTGACAAAAAATCCATAAAAAAATATCATCTGTGGAAGCCGTAGTACTGTAAAAAGTACGACCAATCATTTTATTTTATTTAAAAAAAAGAGTGTGTGTGTGTGTGTGTGTGTGTGTGTGTGTGTGTGTGTGTGTGTGTGTGTGTGTGTGTGTGGTAGTGTGTGTCAGGGCTTTCTGTTGCAGCTCCGGACTCATACTCATTTGTGAGCACATGTAGAAGAAATGAGCAAACTGTGTGTGTAGGTGTATCTGTAGGTGTGTATCTGTAGGTGTGTGTAAGTGTAGGTGTGTGTGTAGGTTGTGTGTGTGTAGGTGTGTGTGTAAGTGTACTTGCACAATAAAAATGAGGAAACATAAGTAACATTGGACTCCAACTGGGGCAGATTTATTTCAAACATTTTACCAACACACTATAGGTATGAAAAAACAATTATACCAACG